TACATATATATATGGTTCCTTTGATAAAATAATGTAACTTCGTTCGTAAAAACTTTTCAGTATAAAATCAAAAATAGACATTTTTTAGGTGATAAAGTTAGCTCAAATATCCTATACACATATAGATATAGATATAGATATATATATACCCAATCCATTTATATACATATATACATAGAATGGGAAGAAGACCACAAGCTGGCTTGGTAACGAGCGAGTCGACGGATCAATTTGAGGTTGCGTCAGAGGGTTACCTTAATTGGAATGTTCGATCGGACTACTATACTTTCGAAACAAACTATACACATACATACATATATATATACATACATACGAATAGACTAAGTAAATACACAACCCTAAGGTTATATTAACAAGGAACAACAACGTGTGTTCCTGGAAAAGGTTTCCTTAGACGTTTCCTAGAAAAAAAAAAAAAAAGGAAAAAGAAGATCGTAAAAAAAAAAAAAAGAATCTTGGTATCTACTGTAAAAGTAGTAGAGAGTCCTGGTCGATAAAAGAAACTTGAAAAAAGAAGAACGAACCAACGAATCGGTTGTTGGCATGCTTTAAAAAAAAAAAAAAACTAAATGGAACTTTGACTATTATGACTATGACTATGATCATGACACTACTATGACGATAACAACGAAGACGAAGACAACAACAAAATGACAAGGAAAGTAGACGACGACGACGATGTTCTAACAAGTGGCTGTAGTCTAACGATCGGTTCTGTCTACCTACTACTACTACTACTACTTTTACACCCCTTAACACACCCCCCTTTTTTTTACCTCCTATCCTAAATGCAAGGAGACTTAACTGTTAAGTATTACAGAGTACAACCCTATATCTGTATATATATACTGTTAAGTATTAGAATGTACAACCCTGTATATGTATGTAACATATATATGTGAATATGTGAGTAAAAATATCCACGCACGCAATATTCGCGTTAAAGCCCTTAAACATTCTTTTTTTCTTTTCTTTTTAGTTCTTAAAGGGATCGATCAAGTTTAAGGTGTCGCAATTTAAAAAAGAACAAAAATACATAAAAATGAGAATGCGTTTAACTGTGATCGTTGGAAAAGTGTATAAAAATTACTCTGTGATTTTGATTATTTTTCTTCTTTTTTTTTGTTTTTTTTTTTGTTTCATACGTCAATTTGTTAATCTATATACATATGTTTTATTTAAAATATTAAATATTTGTAATAAGTTCTATCTCTATTTCTCTTTCTTAAAAGAATAAAGATCAATACGATTTAAATATGTCAGGCGATTAAACAGAAAAATCATAATTATGATTAAAAAAAAGTAATGTAAATAAATTCCAAATAAATTGAAATATAATATATTAATGATAAAAAATAATATTAATACGTGAAATAAATCTTTCAGGGTTGCGTCAGGATTCCTATAAAATTATTACGAATTTATACGTATAAATGATTACTTTGATATCAATAATAAATCGTCAAGTTATTATTATTATTTTATAATATATTTGATAATGAACTCATATGTTAATAGTTTTTATCTACTTATGTACTTGCTAAATGCACTTATTAAATGCACTTGCAATACGTACGTTTATACATGTAGGTGTATGCATATAGGGGTTTACATATACAGGGTGATTCATTAGTTCTTGCAATTTAAATATTTCCAAAAGTATGATAATATATTAGGTCGAGTAATAAGTAACTTCCGATGTAMTGTAATAAGTAACTACCTATTATAAGTCACCGAAACAAACGGATTTTCAATATCACTATATAGATGAGAATTCAGTTTAGTCTTCTGTCAACTTTTTTCTACAGTCAATGTTACATTTAAGTGGCAATTGAAAAAATATACAGCGTATACAGTGCAGGAATGATAACTGATGATAGGGCAGTTCAGAAATTGGTTTGTCAAATTCCGTTTCTGGAGATACGATCTTAAAAGATGAACCAAGTGCAAGGACGTATTTCCGACTTTGATGAACCTTTTAAAGGTAATATTGTAGAGCAAAATCCAATAGATACGTTGAACAATTGCAAAGAGTGCCAAAAAAAAGAAAAAATTCCATGAAAGGTGTCTTGCACTTATCAGTCGCAGAAACGTCATTCTTTGTCTCATTATTATGATAAAATGCACGTGTCTGATATCAACTTTGTATGTATTAGTAAAAATGTCTCTTTTTTAAGTTAATTTGTTTTTTTTTTCTCAACAGAAAGTAGAATTAAATTAATCCTGAAATGAAATAAATCTTGAGTCACATTTTCTATCTTCGTTTCTCTCTTGATTTTTAAATGTGATTAGTAAAATTTAAAGTACCACGAAGAGAAAAAAGAAAAAAATAATTAACTTGACTATGAGAAAGTACACGAGCCAATTTCTATTGTATATGTATATATGTATAAGTGTATAATATCTGTGTGTGTGTGTGTTAATGTTCAGGTAGAAAAGTTCAATTTTTTAAAAGAAACAGAAAAATGATATTAATCTTTTGTAAAAGTATCATAAATTTTAAGTCACACAAGTACAGTTTAACATTTATTGCAAAATTTATGTTATTCAATAATTTTAATTAATTAAATTTATTAAATCATATTGTTTTCTTTTTTTTCAAAAATCATATTTCGTTTGTTCGTTAAAAAATCAATGATCTTATGTTCGTATAATAAAAAAGTTCACACATACTTCTTTTTCGTTCTTAAATATATATATATATATGTTATATACTGAGTATAGTAATATACTATTATATACCTCGTGTTATATACCATTACATACGTTTACATATTAATACGAAACAAGTTCAATTATATAGTGCAAAGTTGAGTTATAATACTGGGTTATAAGTTAAATCGATCAAATTAAATTACAATAATGATAAACATTATAAATAAAAAAAATAAAAAAACAAAGTAAAAGTAAAAAAAACGTTTAACATATATGAAAAATTATTGATTAAAAAAAAAAAAAAAAATAAAAAAATAAAAGATCAACGACCAAACAAATTAATTTTTCTTTTTTCTCGTTTTACATATTTGTTGTTGTAACTTTTCGATAAGAACGTTTTTCATTATCGTTTTGAAACCAACAAATATTATTTAAAAAAAAAAAAAAAAAAAAAAAAAAAAAATGTTTCTCATTTAAAAGTTTGAACACGTCTAAGATATTTTTTTTTTTTTTTTTTTTTTATTTATTTATTTTATTTTTCTTTCGAACAGAATCAAATCAAAATTGCAAAACGATATTCGAAGTTTAAGATGATCGTAAAAAGAGATTTCTAAAGTCATCGCAATTTTCGTTGAATAAGAGCTTTCTTTCTTTCTTTTTTCTGTCTCTCTCTCTCTCTCTTTCTTTCTATCTCTATCTCTTTCTATTTCTTTCGCGAATTTTAATGGAGAGAGAGAGAGAGAGAGAGAGAGAGAGCTTTATCGAAAAGTTCAATCGCATTCTTTTCCAAAGGGGACGACGATTTTTAAAGGAAGCTGACCTCAAGCTAGAATTTTCTTCTTTTTCTTCTTCTTCTTCTACTTCTCCTTTGAAAAAAGAATTTCTTTATACGTTTAATGGTCTCCAGAGAAAGAGAGAGAGAGAGAGAGAGAGAAAGAAAGATATAAAGAGAAAAATAAATAAATAAAATTGTATCTAATCATTTCAATGTCTTCTATTAACATTTTGTTTATCTTATATTTGTATTATTATTAATATCAATATTAAACTAAATGAATTTTTATCATTCGGAATAATCATACGTTAATAATCACGAATAATTAAGCAGTTAAGTGCATTGAGACGTGTATACACGTAAGACCAAATCTCTACTGCGGTACGTTCGACGTGTATACACGTCGGTTGATTGTTTTTAATTCCACACCCTGTGGTGATCTTTTCAAACTAAATTCCACACAGTCAACTGATTAACACGTTGGAATAAACACGGTTATCATAAATATAATCTTTCAATATAATTGATAATAATAAATGAAAAAGAAAAAAAAATAAATTCGTTAAAAATGAAGCACAAAAAAAAATATGAAAAAAATAATATCGCATTAAATGAATGAAACGATATAGAATTATTTTGTTTTTATTGTATTAGAATTTTGTCTATTATTTGTGTTCTCTCTCTCTCTCTCTCTCTCTCTCTCTCTTTCTCACTGAAAAAAAAAAAATAGGCAGAGAATTGCAAATAATTTTCTTGGAAGTTATTATCTTTGACGAATATTTTGTTAGTAACGACGATACATTGCGTGTTACGAGTTCCTTTCAACATTTCTTTTAGCGTTTCTTTTAGCGTGCAACTTTTATCGATAATGCATGGAACGAAAAAAGCAAAGTGTGGTGGTGTTGCACTTTTTAAAACAATGGTATACGAGTATTATATTATAACTAATTTCTTTTCTCACCTACTAACTTGCAAAAATATATATATATATATATATTTTTTTTTCCAAACAATATTATACTCAATATAATTTAACAGTCTTAACAAACACAAATATATATTTTCATTAAAAATAAAATTCACAAAATATATCATAATTCGTACATAAAACATCGTACAAAAAAAAGCTCCTAAATAATGAATAATAACGCAATTAACTTTAATTATTATTAAATTAAACTAAAACAAAGTTTGAAACAATAACAAGTGTATAAAAAATAATTCATTTCTTAGAAAGAAATGAATATAATTCACAGTGAGACTTTTTCACACACACACACAAAAGAATTGAGAAGAATATATCGCCGTGTAGAAAATGACCATTTCCAAAATTCGCGGGTAATGATGTTGAAGGTGTCACGTGATTAGAAATAAACCGAAGAACCAGAGAAAACACGCGAAAGAGGGCGCGCGTAGTACGAACAAAGCACATGCCGGCCTACGACGACAACGACGACGACGACGAGCTGTCAAATACATACATACACATATATACATATATATAATATAAATATATGTATATATAATATATGCATATATATATATATACCTTGTCTTCGATTATCCACTCGTCACAAGTCCACAATGATAAACAAGAAAAATATTCAATAATATCCCTTAATATTCCGTAAGTTGCACGTAATATTATATCACAATAAGAATATTTTCGTTCGATATCCATTTGATAAGGATTAGATAAGAGATATACACCCCCGAAATATTTCAATACGATTGATGATTGGTTGCTTAATATTCCGTCCGTTTTTAATCCAACACCGATGTGTCTGTCTGTCTGTCTCTCTCACTCTAACTACATTTATTTCCCCTAGTTCACCCTCACCCTCGTTCCTCAACAAACACACACATACACATAATACACATAACACGTTAGTGAACATACACACACGTAATATATTATACATGTGTATGTATATCTCATATAAAATAGAAACGCGCGTAGTAGTAGAACATCCTCCAAAAATGTATCCATAAACGTGTGTTGTTGAGAATATACGTATACGTATACACCACACACGTATTTACAAATACACACACACACACATAAAGAAAGGATACAGTATATATATATAATAAAAAGAATAAGAGTGAGAGTAAGAGTAAGAGAGAGAGAGAGAGAGAGATAGAGAGATAGAGAGATAGAGATAGAGATAGAAAGACGCGCGGGCGCATTCGGTTAAAATCCAGCATCTACAGAGAAAGAGAGACGTGCGCACATCTTCTTCCTCTTCTTCTTCATCTTCTTTTTCTTCTTCTTCTTTCTCTTCTTCTTCTTCTTCTTCTTGTTGAATGTATATGTCTAGTCTAGTGTTGACGATTTCGAGCGCGCACAATGATCGACGTACGTCGATTAGTGCAAATCGATCGAAATACTGTGAAAATATTCTCTTATGTTGTTCCTCTATCATTATTATTTTTTTTTTTTTTAATTCCTATCCACGAGAATATCAAATTCAAAATATATTTTTTTTAAAAGTACTTTATAAAAGAATGAATAGAGGATATATAATAAAAAACATACATATATAACAAGTAGGAGTGTGTGAAGAGGAACGACAATGACGACACACACGATGTGGCCTTAACCTCATCAAGCTCGAAATGAACGACACGCACACATATAGAGCTTTTCATATATATATATATATATATATATATATATATATATATACTATATATTTGATAGGTTGAAATAGCTCCCTCTTTCTCTAGCTTTCTCTTATCTCTTTCTATTTCTCACTCTTCCCTTATTCTCTTTCTTTCTTTCTTCATCAATATATAAAAGATGAAAATAATTGGTAGAAAAATATTTAGTAAAATGTGTACATATATACATATATACATATTACATTACATGCATGTTATATATATATCGTTCTCTCGCATCAACTCGATCGTCCTTACCTGCTTCACTAGTGGGAGTAGTGTCTGTTCTATGCTACGGGTCTTAATCTCTAGGGTGGCTGGATCTACGGGGTCGGGTGTCGCCATGATTCGAACACAACTCCGGCGCTCCGTACATTCGAACCACGGCGAGAGGGTTCGTTGCTCCACCACCACCCCGCGCACACTTCCTCCCAACTATGTTTCTCTCACTCACTCTCTCTCCCTCTCTTTCTCTCTCTTTCAATACTACTACCTTCCACTTCTCTCACTCTATCTCACTCTCCAACCCCCCACCCCTTAACACACCCCCACCCTATCCTTCTCTCACACACTCAGTCACTCTCTATCTCTCTCTTTCTTTCTCTTTGGTTTTCTCTCTCTCTCTCTCTATCTATCTATCTCTCTCACTTTCTCTCTCTCTCTCTTTCTCTTTCTCTCTCTCTCTCTCTCTCTCTTTTAGTTTAACACGACGAGAAATGGCGCGCGCGCGCGCGCCTTATCGCTACCGGAGCGACGCCGCCCGCCGAGACGGCGACGCCCGAGCAACTATTCTCTATTCCGAACGAATTATATTCCCCGGTGTAACCCCTTTCTCCCCACAACGCCGCGAACCTTTGCCGTCGTCGCGACGCCGGCTCCCTCGGCTTTACTCTAACGCCATCTGTCGAGATTATCGTGTACTCTCTCTCTCTCTCTCTTAATGTATCGCATTGTCTATCAGTAACTTTTAGGATTTCTCTTTCAATAACCTTACTCGGTCGATAACGTTGACTTGTTAAAACTGTTTTTGGGGTGAGGGGGGAAAGATTACGAAATAAATCGTAAAAAAAAATCCTGACGCAACCCTGACGCAACCCTGACGCAACTTACTTGAATGAATGGAATAATAGGATTTGTTATTCTATGGAAAAAAAATCATACGAAATGTAAAAGAGATAAAAGAGAGAAACAAATTAAATTAATCATACAATAAGTTTTACACAGGTGTCTTTTTATTGTTTTCTACAAAATAATTTTCACATTGATTTCTTAAATCTTTAAATAATAATACTTCAATCTTTTTTGTCTTTTTATTTTTATCGTGTTATATGCTGCTGATAAGAAAAACGTACGTGCATATCGATGAAAACAATAGGGGTGGGGGGAGGGAAACAATATAATTATAATTAACTTGAACAACCTGTAATATTAATGAATTAAATCATTTGTTTAACGTTCTTATTATTTTTATAAATGTTTTGTTTAAAAGATCAAACTGTCATGGAAAGCAAAAAGGAAGGACAATGTTCTCACATTCTACGAACATGAACTATTATCATCATCATCATCAAAATATATAACTATCGAATGTATCTAAGCCTAAGTAATAGTAGTAGTAGTAGTAGTAGTAGTAGCTGTAATAATAATAATAATAATCATAATAATAATAATAATAATAATAGATAAAGCTAAAAACAATGACTAGTCCTAAATTCGTTCTAACTATTTTTCAAACGCACTTATCTCGTTATAGATAATATCCAAACGATTATCGATTTTCGATGATATTATATATATATATATTTTTTTTCTTTTTTTCTCACTTTTATCGCATAGTACTTTGTAGCTCAAAAAACTTTCTTCTTCTTCTTCTTCTTCTTCTTCTTCATTTTTTTTTTAAAAGATAAAACAAAATTATTCACGTGTATCTCTCTACGAATATAAAACGAAACTAAATAATTTATAATAATATTTTCAACATTAAAATTCAACGTTCTCTCATGAATAAAAATATATCTATACAAGAATATTCAACAAATATATCCTAAGCGCAAAAAATTAACATACATCCACCCACGCAAATTCGTGCTCCTTAAATCAATCCACCCAATCATCGATCATCGATCACAATACAAAAACAAAAAAGAAATAATTTTTTTTCAAGCCCTATTATTATCATCATCATCACACAATGAAATTCATTTTTTACCATTCACAACAATTTTGTTCTGATCAGGTGCTGCTAAAGGTGCTTTTCTTTTAACGTGTTTATCCAAAACTTGTTTATCTTTACTGATAACAGTAACATTGTTAGAAACAATTCCACCACCCTTTCTCTTTCTCAACGATTCGGTTGGAAGATACTCAGCTGGTCTCAATAATTGTCTAAAATTGTACGGTCCATTAATGTCCTCAGTATCGTATTCCACTCGATGGTTATTATCTTGTCGCTTTTCCACAACGGTGGGTCTTAACAAATGTCTAACATCTACAGGAACAACACCGAATCCATTTTTCCACAAATCCTTACGTAATAAAATCTTACCATTCATGGCATTTTGATTAACCACGAAACGATGATCAATAACACCATTTTTCGTTTGATTATTATTATTATTATTATTATTATTATTTATATTATTCATATTCTTATGATTTTTATTATTATTATTATTATTATTATTATTATTATTAATATTATTATTATTATTTCCTTCCTTTTCACGATTATTTTTCTTTCCGATAAATCCATTTTGTTGTTTAGTTTCACTAACACGATACAATATTTGTCTGTCATTGATGTTACTCTTCAAACCATTGGTAATCTTCAATGCATTCAAACCCTTTCTTTGATCGATTTTTCTTCCATTGTTTCCGATAACTTGTAAATGTTGCAATAAACCATTACTGCAATATCCATTGATGAAATTTGCTCGTTTATTTGCATCACCGTATATTTTATCGTTTACTATTATTCGTGTTTGTACGCCATTTGAATCGTTGAAACGCGAAGAGTCGACTGCAAACGGTCTACCGTTCGCATTACACGTTCCAGTCCGCACGTTGTTCCCATGCAGTTCATTAGTCCTTGTACTGAAACCATGAATAATAATGTTTTAAGGTTTTTACCCCTAATTTACTACCCTAAAGAAACCTTTGGGTTATATTTCAGTCATTGAATTTACATAAATGTGAATGATATATGTATAAGAGAATACACATGGTTCTATTGATTTCATTGTATATCTACTACATATGAAACGACACACACATATATAGATATATATTTATATATTAATTGTTGAAATTATTATAAACAATATGATAATATTCAAATATCAATTCTAAATGAGCGACAGACGGATGGATGGATTCTACTTTGATGTAAGAAAAGAAAAAAAAATAAGAAGAAGATTGAATTTTTTTTATATTATTTTACCTGGAAGTTTGCCATGATACCTCTGATAATGTATAAAAGATATAAACGTATATTATTAAGTTAGTTAAATAGAAAAAAAATTAACTATATATATGAATACATATTTTGAGATAAAGAGAGATTTAACGAGAGTTCAAGATTTCGCTCGAAAAAATTCAATATTTATTTTAACGTATCCAAATATAAAAACAACAACAACAACAACAATAACAATAAAATTAATCAATTAAAAAGATAACAATATTTTTATCTGACATATCAAATTTAAAGATATAATTTGCATATATATATATATATATATAGATATACCTGATGGATTTTGCAGAATCGTTGTTTTCTTCTGATTCGGCCGGATTCCTCAAAGCTTTGTGCCAAATTTCGGAAAGATGTTGTTCCGGTGCTAGCACAAAGTCGCCTTGAGCTGCCAAACGATCCATCCTCTCGGCACTCACCTCCAGAATCTGACCCGTTCGACTCCTGTTTGCCAAACAGAGATAATTTATTCATTAAATTATCCGTCTGTGATTTAAACCTATGCCAAAACCCTAATTCTACCCATGTATACAAAAATTTCTCTTTCTACTTCAAATGACACAAAATGGTATATGCAAATTTATTCTGAAAAAAAAAAAAACATATCTAAATATTTTCTATTTAAATCAAATTATACAAATTTACATAGTCTACACATATATACATTTAATAGAAATAACTATTATCTATTGCAAATCTATATACAAATACATATACATATTTGGAATATATACAAAGTGTCCTGTAAATAGCTACATTGTACAAGAAGATAAAAAATATATATATATATATTATTATAATATAATAATTTATATTTATAAATAATATTATTTAAAATTATATTATTTATTTTATTATTAAATTATATTATATTATATTATATATATATATATATAAATTTAAAGGAATAAAAAAAATGGGAACAACACGTATGTTTATCTATGACGACAGGTGAGAAAAATTAGGACAAAATACGAGACTAACAAAGGGGGTAGGGTTAGGGGGGGGGGGTAAGGTAAGGTAAGGTACCTCGCTGAAGGATGAAGGTCATTTTCTAGCTGTATCAACGGTGAGTCCCAGCCAACTTCGTCTTCTTCGAATTCCGAACCACTTCCGGTGCGAATGCCAAAATCATTTAAACAATTGAACGATCGAATTTACCGTTTTCCAATAATAATAATAATAATAATAATAAAAAAATACATTTATAATATCCTTTATCGTTATAATTAAATGATATTATTTACCTGCTCATTTCTTCTTTCAATTCTCGATAATATTTGACGGTTTCTTCGTTTTCCGGTTGTATACCACTACGATATTGCAAAATTGGTTGGACCATGTTAAATCCTTCAGGACGTACATAATCCGTCGGTGGTTCTTCGATGTCATTTAATCGGACACCCGGTTTGTTACGTCGAAGATTCTTATGTACTTCTTGATTCTTCATGTGTACCTGTTTTTATGTTGTTATATTTATTTTTATATTCACATGTGTATTTTAATCCTTTGCACTCCGTTGTCTCACCGTAGGAGACTCCGTGATTCTAGCCTATCTCACTCCGATGTCTCAATGTATGAGACATTAAAATTTATTAATGATTCGAAACTTAAACTAACCACAGCCGTTTTAATACATACTAAAGATAAACATGGCTGCGCGATGCAACGGAAGCTGTCCCCTCACATTTTCAGCCTAGCAATGTACATGGCGCGTCCCTCCTATAGGGTCCCTACTACTACCCTCAGCGTCGAAAGTCGTTCGGAGTGCAAAGGGTTAATTATATATATTTTGAAAACATACGTTTTGAGAAAATTGAATGAGATCAGCTTGTCTAAGTTTAGGATGAATCGGATCTTTCATAGGTGGTGTTACATGTACTTTTTCTTCTTTCTTGTACCATCTTTGTACGATAAATGCAACGTCCTCTTCTTTAACACCACCTTCATCGATCAATGCTTTAATGGCTTCTACTTCGTTCTCACAATTATTTAAAATTTTCTTGAAACGTTCTTCTGATTCGGCACCAAATCGTTTGCGAACAGAATAACCTCTGAAATCTGAATTAAAATTATTGATTAATTAATTTCATTAACTTTAACATTAATCCCCTTTTTTGCTATTCGTTTCTAAATTTGTTTTAAGTTTTATTATTATTATTATTATTATTATTATTATTTAATTCGATAATTATTTATAAATTTCTCTTACGACTTTGTATAATAACAGCAGCGTCGTTCTCCTTCGAGTTTTCCGATTGAAAAATCATTTCATTATCGTCATCATTCCTAACCATTTCTGCTCTTGATTCTCTACGCAATACCAATGTTTTATCATCTGAAACAAATCATCACGTTTTAATCATCTGAAACATCCCATGAAAAAAAATAAGATTTCAATTACTTTGAAAATCTTTGAAATATTTCAATATTAAATTACTAACTTTGAATCCTTTCCAAGATGGTAGCTTCTTCTTCTTCCTCACGTTTCTTTAACATTTCCTTTTCAACGTGTTTACGTGTTAACCAGCCCCTGATATGTCGTTGAAGTGTAACGACAGAAATTGCAAATTGCCATTTTTGTTTGTTGAAACGAATTTTTGCCAACCATCTACGTACACAAGCTTGTACCATAATTATTTTCTTCAATTGTTCTTCATACATTTTGGATAAAAATTCAACGTGATAATATTTTAAAAATACTTTTGTTTTACCCAATGCCCAACCATCCATCTTTAAACGTATCAATAATAATCGACAATTGTCACGATTGGCTACAACTCGTTCGTCATAACCAAACGCAAGGAAACAATATCTAAATTTATACAAAAAAACAAAACAAAACAAAACAAAACATTAGTAAATATGTACATATTATAAAAAAAAAAAAAAAAACAATTAAATTACCTTTTCAAAAATTCATTGAAAGGTATTCTATGTGAGAAACCATTTTGTCTAATACGAATTGTTTCCAAAACCCCGGTGTATCTCAATTGTTTAACAACCTTTTCCTTATCAAAGAAACGTGGACTTCTCGAATCATTTGGTTTGATACATCTGACAAATTGGGGTGAACCAGAGACCATTTTTTGTAACAGATCCATCAATGAATAACGGAAATAAGTTGCTACAGTTTGTTGAGCTCTAGATTGTGACGCTAAACCACGACTTGAGTAACGTTCCTAAAATATCAAAGTAATAAAAGAAAACAAATAAATATTTATCGAAACAAAAACAGTTTTATAAACTAGGACAGAAAGTCAATTTTCTCTTATGAGCATTCAAGTTTTCCCTCTTACTTTTGTATTTTGGTTAATTTGCGACAACTTTCTCGAGTCGGTTTCATGGACGGCCGAGTAGAGGTTACCGGTCTTGGTGATCGGACACTGGAACAGGAAGCGGACCATATCGAACTGAGATTGTCGTACCAGTTGGATTACCTCAGGTGGCAGGAAGTTTCTATTCTTCTCAAGGAAACCTTCAGCTTGATAAACTACACGACCAGCGAAATGATGAACCGCGAAACAAACTGCGTCGGATTTGGGTCTTACGTAGAATTTAGATTTGATGTTGTTGTGAAATTTCTCTGTTAATGTTAAACGATATAAAATAAGTTTAAAGTTAAATATTATAATACAAAAAAAAAATAAATACACGAAATGATTATTTTTACCAATCAATGATCTATTAGTTGCCCTAGGGAATCGACTTTCTTCGTCCAGGAGTGCCAACAAACCCATTGGTTTGCTCAATAGCATATCTAAAACCGGTCGGTTATCAGAAAACTCAACTAGATCAACCGGTATACCTTCTGCCATGTATTCTTGTTGTTCCCAAGTGAATATATGCTGATTGAAATAATATTGTATCTGTTCGTTGGCTATGTTTATACAAAGTTGTTCAAACGAATTACGTGGGAAATTTTCGAAACCAAATATATCCAATAATCCAATAGCCAATGGTTCATAATTGGGTGAACGATTGAAACACAAGAGGCAATTTATTTGATTGACCATCCAATCAAATAGTCTCCCGTAGAGTCCTTTGGCCATAGCATCTCGTGCAGCACATGCTTCAGTTACCGTATTGTTTCTTGTTATCGTTTCACCTCTCGTCATGACCGAGTTTGATGTTAATGCTTCCAATAAATCGTTCGGTTCGACACCCAGCAATTTCGAAACTATCGACAGAGTTATACCAGTTAACATAAACTACGTCTATTTATTTGAAATAGTATTATTATCATAAATATACGATTACCAATAATCGGGGGTGAAAGGATAGGAGAGATGAGAGTAGAAACTTTACCTCTATCCAAAGGAGCAGTATCGATAACTATACTCTTGTTATCCGTATTATCCTCACTTGGAACTTCAGAAAATTCGATATCCCCTAAATGTAGTATTGCTGCCAATACACCATAAACCGTATCAACTTCGCTATCCCGAAAGCCTAATACCTTGAAGCCAACTTTCAATTGTTGAAACTTATCAACGTAATTTTGAGAATGGTGAGTACGATCCATAAGATATCGATGATGTTCACGTAAACTTGGATCCAAATAAAATTCTTCTAAACGATTGTCAGCTGCTAAACCGTCGTACATGTAATAAAATACATGAAAATTTCGTTCACCTCTGAAAATCAAATAGTCATTGAGAAAAAGCGTTAGAAAATTCGAAGAAAAATTTTTTGTTGTCAAAACTAAACTTACTCGGCTTGAGCTACAACTCTTGATTGTTCCAAAAGATAAACAGAGATTCTAGCACCGGTTACCTTGCCACCTTTGGTCATGGTAAGATCCAAGTACTTTCCAAATCTCGACGAATTAGCATTAATTCCAGTAGTTGCGTTACCAAATGCTTCCATAATTGGATTTATCTGTAAAATTCTTTCCTCCAAATTACGATTAGGTGCTTTACTTAGATAAACCAATTGTTTTAACAATAAATTAGCACTCTCTGTTTTTCCAGCTCCCGATTCACCGCTTATTACGATCGCTTGATTTTGACGTTGATGAAGGAGCGCTTGATATGCTGCATCAGCAACGGCAAAAATGTGTGGTGGATTATCCGACCTAGCTTGACCCTTGTATCTTCTTTGTTCCTATAAACAATAAGAAAAAAACAATATATATATAAAAACAAATTCTATAATGATTAGAAATAATTCAATTTGAAACTTACGATTCCAGTGTAAAGGCCCAAATTGGTAAAAGGATTAACAGCAACAAGAATATCACCGATGTATGTGTAAATCTGTCCTTGTTCGTAACGATGTTGCAATTGTTCAACAATTGCATCTTCAGATAACATATCGAGAGCCGCCAAATCATCCATGTACATTTTTTCTGGTCTTGCTTTGCGATCTGTTTTTAATTTGCCATGTTTCGTGGTAACTTCTGGTTGCCTTTGAACTCTACCATCGGTTCTTTGTCGACGAATTTCAGCAGAAAGTTCTTCCCTAATTTCATCTATTTGATTTTCAATGTTAGTCAACAATGGATGTTCTTTTAATTCACTGGCAAATGGTCGATGTTCGAGATCTTTAACGAGACATTCAGCAATGAAATCTAAAAGTTCTGGATCATGTATATCAGGATTTTTCAATGATGGCGGCGGATTTCTGGGTATTTGAAAGAGCGCTCTCATTGGATGTAGCTCTGATAATGGCGGATCACCCTCGGCTAATTCAATCGCCGTTATTCCAACTGACCAAACGTCACATCGCGAATCGTACGATGAATCCAACTGTTGTTCACATGCAATCACCTGATTATAAACGAATAATTGTTTATCTCGTAGTTTTTCATTATAATTTTATGTTATAATATAAAAAAAAATAAAAATGGGAAAGATAAATGTATATATACTTAGTTATAAAAATGGTTGAAGTTATACATCTGTTGTTTCGAGATTTTTAAAAGAATTATTCACATTTGAATGTTGCTAAATGAATTTTATATAATATTATAAAAATAACAAATAATATATTATAATATAAACTAATAGTTATTTATGTTGCTGTGGCTCACAATCAATCCGATACACAAGTCTTTAAGTCAACGAATTACCTTATATCGCCATCTTTTAGAATCTTATTGAACTAACAGAGATAATCATGACTCTTTGTTAATAAACAAATAATTCGATTATAAATTGAAATATAAACTATTCTATCTTTCAAGTTGAATGAAACTGCACAAAGTGTGCAAAATTTGATTAAAATCAATTCAGTAGTTTAGGACTCTATTGCCAACAAACAACGTGACACGTAATTTATATATATTACAAGATATATAAAATGATTAAAATACGAAAAATATAACCCCTTGGATAATATAATAATAAATATATATATATATATATATATGTGTGTGTGTGTGTGTATACCTCGGGTGCCATCCAATAAGGTGTTCCAACAGATGTGTTTTTTCTTGCCAAGGTCTCAGCTAAATGCGAAGAAACCCCAAAATCTACGAGCTTAACTCGTGCCTCATCCGTTAACAAAATATTATGACCTTTGACATCTCTATGCATGCAATGATTACCATGAAGATAAATCAATGCTTCGACGGTTTCACGAAGTATATATGCTATCTGTTTATCCGTTAGACGTACAGCACGTTTTTTAAGACCTTGAACGAGATCGGTCACCGAGCCTCCTGTGCATAACTGGAACAACATTCATTAACTCTTCACGCGGTTGCCTTTTTAACGTAAATCACATACCACCATCACCTTAGTACATATATATGCATGCATATACTTATTTCAGATTAAATTATATACTTTGTATCTCTGAAAGAAGATTTATTATCTTATCGAGTTGATTTTAACATTGATTATATTCTACAATCATCGTCGTATTCTCCGCTTCTTGGAAAGTTTAAACCCGATTATTCATTCTACAATAAACTAACTGTAAGAATGAACATTTTGTACTAATTTTTTAATTAATTTCTTAATTTATTATTCGTTTGTTTGTTTGTTTGTTATAAGTGATCACGATAATCAAAAAAAAAAAAAAAAAGGAAAATGGTATAGTTTGATTAAGATGGGAATTGGATTCGTTGTTTTTGAACACATTTGAAAACATTCGTTAACTAATTAATTTAGAGAATAATATTATTTGTACGCACCTCCATTACGAACCATAATTGATCCTCCTCTTGAGCTGGTTTAGCTCTTTTTAAAAATAATCCATAAAATATTGGAATATTAGGATGTAAACTTAGATCACGTAATACGAGATATTCTTCCTCGATTTCTTCAATATTGTCAGCAACATTTTCAAGTATCTTTATGGCTACTTTATTGTCGGTTTCTTTGTCATATGCTGAATATACTTCCCCGTAAGTACCTTCACCTATTAATTCTTCCAAAACAAAACGATCACCAGGATCCGGTATTACGTCGAAGTTTACGTGTTGACTTAAACCATGATACGCCATATTGGTCCCACCTCCGGTCATCTCTATATAAATAGAGACAAAAAATAATGAAAGAAATAAAATTAAAAAAAACACACACACAAAATTATTATAATTGTCGATTCATTTGTTCAATGAAGATCAATGTTTTCTATAATTATTGTATTTTTGTGTGTGTGTGTGTGTGTGTGTGTATGTAATAATTAATTGTTTGATAATAATGTAATTAAGTATTAATAACAAAGATTAATATTGTATAGAAAAATAGAAAAATTTAATAATAATAATAATATTAATAAATTAATAGTAATATTCTTATAATTAATATTAATTTTATATTATATTTAATTTATTTATNTTAATAATATTAATATATATTATATAATTTTAATATATTAAAATATTAAATTTATTATTTTTTGATATATATATATATATATTAATTTTAATAATTAATATTAATAAATTACTATTATTATAATAAGAATATTTTATATGAAATTATATATAAAAATAATATTAATAAATTTGTAATAAATAAATATTTGCTAATAAAAATTTAATAAATAACAATAAATTAATATTATCTTCTTATAACGTTCGAATATTCGACAATTGTTTGAATTATTTTCTTTTCATAACTTGTCCTAAAAAAAAAATGTCGAACTTTAGTTCAAAAATTTGAAAATAAAAAACCACAAATATTATCTAATAAAATCAAATGTTATAAATAAAATCGATTTTTTTTCTTTTTTTTTTTTTTACAATACCAACCGATTATATCACCCATTTTTACGAAGGGGGGTTTTCACGTTTTCACAAAAAATAACAAAAAATAAATAAAGGGAATAAGAAAAAAGAGAGAAAGAGAAGAAGAAGAAGAAGAAGAAGAACAACAACAACAACAACAATTAAGAAAATTTGAATAAATATCAATGAAATGATAGAATAATATATAGTACGAACTAACACACTGTGTTAGTTTTGCTGAACACAAAATACGACTGGTGAAAGTCTTTCGTTCTCTAACCAGATACCTGTTAGTTAGTCCCTTAATGAGATTAGATTTTATAAGACCGGCGCACTTCTACGTGGCCCTCAGAAATAGGTCTTGCGAAAAGTGGATGGTATGTCACGTGTTTTTGTTGATCCACTTCATCTGTTCTACATCTATACCCCTATTTATATAATAATATAAATAATATCATATTCTTTTTCTGTCATCTCATTTTACTAATTAATATATAATAATTATTTATCTGATAAATTTATTATAATAATAATAATATTCAGTTTTCGTGTTCTTTTTTTTTTTTATATTTTATTTTATTTTATTTTTTTTATTAACCACGAATATTCTACGCCATTGTACGAAGCCTGATAAGGGTCTCGAAGCCAATCGTGTGGTTTCGCACGACATTTTTTGTTATTATACGGAATTGGACGAGACATTTATTGATCAAAAATTAAATCTAAAAATCTAATATATCTATATATATAATAATAATAATAATAATAATATTATATTTAATATACTATATTTATAATATTTTCAATATTTATTTTTAAATCAATTTTAAATTATATAAATGTTACATTGATATTATATATTTAATTATTTTCTTTATTTCTTTATTTTATATTATTTATATTTAATTATATATATATATATATACACTGCTGATATAAAACATGAAATATCTCGTAAACTATTGACATTTCGATGACCTTCATTAAATACTTTTTAACGCAGAATAAAAAAAGGAATCGAATAGTGTAAAAAAAAATATAAAGTTCCATTGAAAAAAAAAGTGCAACTGCATCTAGCGGGTGCATCGATGCATCTTCAAAAAAAGTAAGATCATAGAAGGTTGACATTTGTTCTGCCATACAACTTTTTCCTTAATGATTTTTTTCTATTGTTACTTAATAAAAAGTTATTACCCCTCTCCGTTCCAAGAATCACCCTGTATAAAACGCATATGCTTTTAATAAGATAAACGAATATAATGAAACATTAAATTACACATATATTATTATTATATATTAAATTATAATAAATAATTCAATGAAGCCCACAAATTGATAATCATTTTAAACTTAACACATACATATATATATATATATGTATATATATATAATATGTATGTATTATACCTGTCCATTTAATTTATTGTACTCGATATATATATGTGTGTGTAATGCCTAGGAGGTTTCACGTTCATCGCATTTTCCAACCAACGAATTCAATCGCGTAAAGAGTTAATCTTACTTGATCCTTGACGTTAAGAGAAAACTATGACGAATAAATTTTGCATAGAGTCGAAGGCATTTAAATCGTTTTACTATTTTAAGCGTTCGAGAAAGCGTTAAAGAGATTAGGTACATATATATATATATATAAACATATATATATATGCATCTGTATAGAATATATTTTTTTTAAAGAGACAGTTTTTTTTTTTTTTTTACATATATATATATATATATATATGCACAATTTTTTGTTTTCCTTTCATTTCATCAACTGATAAAAAAAAAATTATTCATTTAATTCTAATCAAGTTGTTTTAATTATTAAAAAAAAAGAAAAGAAAAAAACAAAAAAGTAGTTCAACGTTTAAGAAAGTATTTTACTATATTATTACCATAAGAACACATACACATATACATATATAGGTATAACTACTTTAAAACATACCTATGGGGATCGATGATCTATGAAGAGTCAAGGTTCGTCGATTCCGTTAGATTTTCTAACTTTAATAATAAAAATAAAAATAAAAATAAACACAAAGTATATATTTCTTATAAATTGAAACAAAAAAAAAAACAACAAAAATTACTTCCCCCTTATACCCCCTTATTTCTCCTTATTCCCCGTTCAGGATCAAATATCTATTTATCACGATCGTAGAAATGTTTTCATGCGAAACGAATGATCTTGATCTTTTACCACACCCCATCCACCATTTTCCAATTCTCGATTACAAGAACTGTATATAATACAAATAAAAATATAAATAGTTGAACGTTCGATCAATTTCACATAGTTGAAATGATCACTAGAATATTTCAACCATATAATTTAATAACAAAAACACAAAACGTAAAATAAAACAAAAGGAAATAACAAATATGAAAAATGAAAATAATGAAAGAAAAATTGAAGTTAACGGATCAATGAAACATTTGCTTAACCATCTACGTACTATTCCATCCAACCCACCCATTTTGTCCATCTCGATCCCTGTTCTTCTAAAAGGTGTGCAACGAATATCGATCGTACGGCAATAACCGATAGGACAATCCGATCACGTGTTCATGAAGGTATTAGAGCGAAGAAACCCAACATGAAATCGGCTTAAAGATCCAACTGTAAAGTAATAATGTAGTACTATTTCTATCTTTCATTTTTTTTTCTTCTTCCTTATGTGTGTGTCCTTTTCTATATCTTTCTAGGATAATAATCGAAATATTAGAAATATATTATTATATGAAAAATTATAGTTAGGATTATTATTAATTTATATATGATGTATTTATATGTATGTTATAATATTTATTAATTTATATATTCATATGTATATTATAATATTTATTAATTTATGTATTATTATTTAAATTAAATATTATTAATTTATATTATAATTATTATTCATTTATTTAATTATTAATATTATAAATATATTTAATATTATTTTTTTAATATTATTATAATATAATTAAAAATTATAATTATTAATGTTATTATTTTACTATATTATTATGTGTAGAAAAATAATATTAAATATATTTAATATTACAATATTTTTTTAATATAAATATAATTAGAAATTATAATTGCTAATATTATTATAATATAATTAATATAATATAAATATAAATATAATACAATATTATAATTATAAGTATATTATTATATTTATTTATTTATTTAAATATATATTATAATTGCAATAATGATATTAAATATTAATTTAATTAATTAATTTAATTAATAATATAATATAATATAATATAATGTAATGTAATATAATATGATACTATAATTATAATTATAATAATATATTTAAATAAGTAAAATAATTATAATTATAATATAATATATATTATATGAAGAAAAAAATAATATTAAACAAAAATGAATATACATATTCATATATATATATATATATAATAATAATAAAAGTTTAGTCACCCTAATTAGAATGGTGAGTTGAAACGTGAAAAGAAAACAAAACTTTCACACCTTGTAGCAATCTTTCGAACAATTTTTTTTTTACATAATGTAAATATATATATTAATTGACGAAAAAAAATGATAAACTATAACGAAACGAAATATCATCATCGAACACAATCCTATGACAAACTGAATGAATCTAAATAAAATAATCTGAACATACACAGTAATTCATACACATAGTCATTCAAACACACACACTATACAGAAATTTAAATATACACACACACGTAATTTCTCGATCATCTAATATCGTTTATTCGATCCTTTACAGCGTGACGTTGTAACGGTACGATGCATGCTATCAATGACCACAAAGCCACACCCCTCTCTTTTCAATGATTATGTTTCTTTTCTTTTTCTATCTTTATCTTTTTCTCTTTTTAGTATTTTTTCTTCCCCCTCCCCTAAACCCATTTCTCTATTTTTATTATTTCTCTTTTTTAATGCATACGTTTTATTTTAAAATATGTTGTTTAAAGAAAAAAAAGAAGAAGAAGAAGAAGAAAAAACACAGAAACATTTAATTATTTAATTAATAGGATTTTTTTCTTTTTTTTTACATTTAATTTATATTCTAACAAATGTGAAAGTTCATTTGCATATTAAAATGCGACACATGTATGTATAATTAATGTACATTAATAATATTATTAATATATTTGCATTTGAATTAGAAATTAATAATGTAGAGGGAATAATTTTTAATTCAATATTTTTAATATTCACACATGTTTTTGTTTTATGTTGATTAGAAATCAATTTTTTTTTTGTTTTTTTTTTTTTATTTTCTTTCTA